CCTGGTTATCAGGAACATCCTTCCTCTGTTTACTCTGTCTAGTCCTGTTATAGTCCTGTCACAGTTTTTTTTCTGAGATCTCCCCTCATTCTTCTAAACTCCAGTGAATATAGTCCTAACAAATCCAGTCTTTTTGCTTATGTCAGTCCTGCCACCCCAGGACTCCAGTGCTTCGAAGTGGCATCTCACCACCACCTTCTCAAGAACAAGAAAGGATGGCCATAAACATTGGCTTTTCCAGAAAGGGCCCTCATCCCAAGAATGAAAAGACTAATTGCTGTCCAGCACCAGTCAGAAAGAAAAGCTTCTGCAGACGTGATATACGATAAGTGCAGCTGGCTTCAGAAGAATGGGTTACTTTGGATTTATGTTTTCTATCCTTCATGCCTGGGTCTGTCGTGGACTAATTGATTGAGATTGATTACCACAATTAGTGAAGAACTTCCATTACTGATGCATCAAGTGACTGCTAGGATTGTATAAGACACTAGACAGAATATGGTCATTTGTCCTCCAGCAATTCCTATGTCGAAGCACTTTTAGGGGAAAAAAATGGTTGCTGTGCAGTAACTGGGTCTGCATGTGCTGCATCAGTCAATGCAAATTCAGCAGATGACGAGCAGAGATGTTTAGGCCATTAAAAACGGAGTGCTTTACAATTTGGCACCATTCCCATCAGATAAGATCACACCAATTCATCACTGCCGCTGAATGAGAGAATTACTTTAGCAGATGTCATTTCAATCAATATGCTTTTCTGTTCTGTCTGGTGCCTTTATATTGCTATTCAGAGAGAAATCAATAAGAGGCAGGGTCACCCATCACCAAATTGGCTCATACACAATCCTCCTGAATTTCTCTTCACTGAGTTTCAATGGCATTACAGATTCTCTATCAAAAAGTCCACGAGCCTCTCAGTTCTGAACAATAGGATTTAACTTAAGACATCTGAATCTGTCTGTTCAGTAACAGAAAACTGTGTCTCATACAATTGTCAGCTCCAATATTTTCTGGCCTGATAACTTGAGGCTTCTAAACGGTCAACTGCTGAAAACAGCTCATGTTCCCAGTGCTCTTTTACATGAATCCAGTACTGTCCTTTCCCATTAGTATGGTAAAGGTAAAATCATCATAGCCTTGGCAGACCATAGGGTTGCTCTCTCATTAGAAAGATGATTGTTGGTGGGTTAATCTGGGGCTCACTTTGCCTCCAGTGAGGTTGAGAAAGGGAATGGTAACCTCAGCTGATGTGAGAATTGAACCCATGCTCTTTGTGTCCCTCTATATTGCAAACCAGCCATGTAGCCAACTGAGCTAACCAACCCCCTCGCCTGTTAATATCCACTGCTGGTTCACACCGATTGCTAACAGCAGTGTTTAAACAAGGTGGGAGATGACAATCTCCAATTGTGTAAGAATCCTAACGCACTCCGGTGACGAGCTGACAGTCACTTCAGATTGACCTTCCACAGTGGATGCAAAAAAATTTTGCTTTCTTTGTATAAAAACACTCCCTTCTTCATCTTTTACACAACCTGCACATGACAGTATTTACCTGTTAAAGACACTGGGGTTTTTAATTGTTTGCTGCATTCTTTCATTTAGTTTCTCCGAAAAAGCTACAGGTCTGAATAGAAATGATCAACATTGACGTCTGGAGGACTTTACTGCACATTGCCAAAATAGTTCTGGGTCCTTTGTAGACAACAATTAGTTTGAAGTGCAGAGACCCACATTGGGTGGGATAGTAATTCCCATCAATGGCAACTCTACAGTTGACGAGCCACTACTTATTAACGGTTGCCAATGCAAAAATAACTGAGGTGCCATATATGCCACCACAGCCATAGTGTGCGAATCCGTCCCCGTTCATGCCACCCCCTGATCCTGACGGGAAACTCTCGCTGTTTAATCTTCAGAGTTTGGACTGAAAACAGGGAGCTGGACTGAGTCCTCAAACAAACTCAGTCTGCTCTGCAATGACTATTACCCAAGTGGAGAATGACTCTTCACATGGTGGTGAACAGCTGAGGCACTGAGGGTAGGGACTGTTCTTCCTCAAAGCAGCTGGACTGCGGTCATGTAGGGGTCATGAAAAAAAAACCGAATGACAACTCTCAGCTTAACGTGAAGGCGGATGAGAGCATTAACGGTGGATGTTTGGCGAGAGGTCAGGAGACAAACACACAGCAATGGGTGCATTATTATAAATCATCGATCTTGCCTCACACTTACAGCTGCAACCCGCCACCTGGTTGGTGACACTGTCCATTAATGCAGCCATTTCTTAAAGCGTGAGGAAAAACCATCAAATAGTAGGGATTCCTGGGGGGAAGTGGTGCAGAGGACCGGGCTGCAGGAGTCGAAGTTCTGTTCATGTAACTCCTTCTGTCTTCAGCAGAGAAGTTCAGAAATGGATTTATCAGAGGCACAACTTTCATTGCAAAATGCCAAATACAGACAGATTCCATTCTGAAGTCTGTTCACAAATCCATCTGTACGCAAGTCAGAATACAATGCAGGACAATATTAAATAGATGTTGGTGAGCACAGGAAATGCTCATATGTCAGATATGTAAAATTACACCCCTGTTTGAACAAGGACCTACACAGCAAAGGAACACGCTCTTTAGCCCATCCAGACTGTACTGACCTATAACGCCTTTCAAATCTCATTCAAACTTTTTCTCCCTTTCCCTTATAACAATGTGCCCTAGTAATTGATATTTTTATCCTGGGAAAAAGACCATGTCTCTCACAATTTTGTAAACCTCCATCAGGTCACCCTTCAGCCTCTGACGTTCAAGTGAAAACGGGATCGCATTTGTAAGTTGGACGTGCTGTGGATGTGGATAACTGAAACAAGAACAAAATCTGAAAAACTCAGTGGGTCAGGCTGCATCGGTGGTGACAAGCCAAGTTAATCTTTCACCTCAGAGACCCCTGAAGCTTTCCAGCTTTACTTTATTTGTAATTTTAGTGACTTGGATGGATTGGAGGAGATGAGGTATTTATTGTTAGAGATGATCCGGAGGGGTTTTGATAAATGATGTTTAAAATCACAAGGTGTCTGGACAGAGAGAATCTGTTCCTGTTGAGAATCAGAGATCACAGACCTTTTTTTATAAATTTATTCACAGGATGTGGGCATCGCTGGCTAGGCAGCATTTATTGCCCATCCCTAATTGCCCAGTCATGAGTCAACCACATTGCTGTGGGTCTGGAGTCACATGCAGGCCATACCAGGTAAGGATGGCAGTTTCCTTCCCTGAAGGACATTAGTGAGCCAGATGGGTTTTTCCTGACAATCAGCAATGGATTTCTGGTCATCATTGGACTCTTAATTCCAGATATTTATTGAATTTAAATTCCACCATTTCCCATGGTGGGATTCAAACCAAGGTCCCCAGAACATTACCAGGGTCCCTAGAGTAACAGTCCAGCGATAACACCACAATGCCATTGCCTCCACCAAATATCACAACGCTGGCTGGACAACCATGGAAAAAGAAATGTCTGTGACAGAAAGAAGATATTGCAGTTGCTGGAGATCTGACAAAGATAGTAAGTGCTGGAATAACTCAACAGGTCAGGCAGCATCTGGAGACAGAGAAACAGAGTTAACATTTTGAGTCCAATATCAGAATGAAAACTGGTGTGAGTGGTTATTGTCTGGAACTTGGTACCTGAGAATGTGGTGGAGGCAGATTCAATCACAGCTTTCAGAAGATAATGGGAAAACTTTCAGAAGTGAAAACAATGCGCAGGGTTTTTGGGAAATGGGATTATAGCTAAACCGCTTCAGAACTGTGAAGAGGAATCAGACTGAACTTGAAATATTAACTCTGTTTTTCTCTCTCCACAGATTTTGTTGAGCCTGCTAAGTTTCTCCAGCATTTTCTGATTTTATATTGAACAATGGATAGGGTAAATAGCCAGGGTGGGGGAGTTCAAAACTAGAGGGAAAGGTTTATGGTCAGAAGGGAAAGATATAAAAGGGACCTGAAGGACAACTTTTTCACACAGAGGGTGGTGCGTGTATAGAATGAGATGCCACAGGAAGTGGTGGAGGCTGGTTCGATTACAAAATTTAAAAGACATCTGGATGGGTATATGAATAGGAAGGGTTTAGAGGGATATGGGCCAAATGCTGGCAAATGGGACTAGATTTATATAGGATATCTGGTCAGCATGGATGAGTTGGACTGAAGGTCTGTTTCCGTGCTGTACATCTCTATGACTCTAAGACTCTGACTATACTGATGGTGAGCGGGGCTTGGCAGGGCTGGACTTATTTCCCTGGCTGTTTTACACTCCTCCGCATGTGCTGATGTCAGACATAGCACGTCTAACCCCCTCAGCCTTTTCAGCAATTTCCCTTGATTATTCTGTGTCAACATAAACTTACATTGACATACTGCCTTTCAAGTAATGAAACCTTCCCTGATTATCTCACACGAGCATTCGAAAGCAATATTCGTCACTGAACTCCACAAGATGGATATTAAGGCAGACTGCCAAAAGCTTGGGCCATGGAGAGAGATTTTAAAGGTGTGTCTTAGAGGAGGAAAAGTAGGGTAGAGAGGCAGAAATATACAGGGAAAGAACTCTGGAGTTTGAGCCTTAAAAGTGATGACTTAGTGACAATTTAGTGACTGGGATGCACAGAATGGCCACAGTTGGAGAAGTGCAAACATCTCAGAGTTTTGGAGCAGGGGAAAATTAAACAGAGAAAGAAATGTGGAGGAGGACACAGGGGAATTTGAAAAGAAGAATAAAAACTATATTTGATTTTTTGAGCTGATTCCTACTTTGAATATGGAGATTTGTCTGCTTGGGAGTGGAGATTGGGAATTTGGCTTCGAACTGAAGTGCACCATCTCCCCAGTTTTCCCCTTCCACCCCCTCTCTCTGCAATCGGTCCTCTTGCTCATCCATGTCCACATTGGAACTCTCCCTATTAAAAATAAACAAGATCTGAATCTATTTTACACACACAACTAGGGAAGTGCTCGTTAAAGTCTGGTTTCCCCTGTGTTTAAAGCCAGATCTACACAGCAGGAACATACCATCCTCACTGGTGTGTGTCTCAGTGCCAGCATCGAGATCAACATCCTCCAGTGTCCCGTGTTCACTGTAGGGACTGTCACTGTTGGACAAAATGGAAAAGAAAACAGCTTAATTCTGAAAACGGTCATGCACTTCACGAGAAAGAAAAGTTGTCTTGGTTATACAATTGATTCCTAGTTATTCAGTCAGTGGTTCAAAATCTGCTGGAGGCATTTAATATGATTGAAAGGTACAATAGGATCGCGAGAGCGAGACAGAGCAACCATTGCAACTAGCAACTGTGTGTAACATAAATAAAGTGAATTACAATGAAATGAAGATACAGTTAGCTAAAGTGGACTGATGTGGAGGTGCTGGTGTTGGACTGGGGTGGACAAAGTCAGAAGTCATATAACGCCAGGTTATAGTCCAATAGGTTTATTTGAAATCACAAGCTTTTGGAGCGTTGCTCCTTCATCAGGTGAGGTAATAGCAGAATATTTGGAAAATCATAATCTAATCAAACAGAGTCATCATGGCTTCATGAGAGGGAAATCTGGCAAATTAGTGTCTAGCTGATTTATTAGAATTTTTCGAGGAAGTCTCTACCAGAATGTATAGACGGTAACCAGTAGATATGTTGTATTTGGACTTCCAGAATGTGTTTGACAAGGTACCTCAGTTATGGTTAAGTCATAAGATAACAGCCCACAGTGTTGGAGGTGGAATTTTGGCATAGATGGAGAATTGACTCATAGACAGGAAATGGTTCTTTTTCAGGTTGGTGACCTGTGACCAGTGGCATTCCACAGGGATCAGTGCTGGGACCGCAACTGTTTACAATATACATTAATGACGCAGAGGAAGGAAGTGAATGCACTGTAGCCAGATTTGCAGAAAACACAAAAATAGGTGGAAAGGCAGGTTGTGAGAGGGATACTCACCTTTTTTTGCAAAAGGTTGGCAAATGAAGTATAATGTGGGAAAATGCAAATTGTTAACTTTAGAAGAGAGAACAAAAAAAACAGGGTGTTATTAAAATGAAGAAAAATTGCAGAAAGCTGCAGCTCAAAGGGACTTGCGCATGAAACAGAGAAAGCTAGCACACAGCTGCAGCAGGTAATCAGGAAGGCTAATGGAATGTAGGCCCTTATTTCAAGGGGATTGGAGTACAAGAGTAGGGATGTCTTACTGCAACTGGACAAGGTGCTGGTGAGACCACATCTGAAGTACTGTGAGCAGTTTTGGTCCCCTTGTTAAAGGAAAGATATGATTTCATTAGAGGCACTAGGGCAACTCAGAGTAGCAGAGTTGGTGTCCCAGCATGTGTGGAGGTCAGTAGGTGCTTATGTTTTATCTCAATGATGCCCAAGGCCAGTGATACAGCTGGGATCTTGGTGTTTACAACCCCTACAGAACAGGAGGAGCCGGTGGCCCAGAATTGGACGAGCACCGGTGAACCCTTCGAACTCCCCCTTTCGAAAAACAGCTCTCTGAATAAACTCTGTTGGCGGCTTGGCCAATCCTGCCTTCCCTTGTCCTGGTACAATGATCAGACCTGTATCGCTCGCCAGTAGATGGCAGACTTCAAGGGAGAGTGACTCAGGAAGGACTGAGCTTACCAATAATCGTCACCGGCCATACACTTTTCATAAATGGGTCCCTCCAGATCCTTCGGATCGGGAAAAATCAGCTCGCTGTGGATGATGATGGTCTTGATCAGCTCGTTCACGTGGGCTTGGCACAAGACTTGGTCTTGCGTGTCGGGCACAGGCATTAGGGTGGGGCCGAAGCAGATTGCCAAGTTGTAAGGATCCATCATATTTTCGTCGCTGTATTGAGACAGGCTGCCAAGAGAGAGACACAAGGTGATTAATGTCTTACAGCAGCAGAAGGTCGATTCAATGCCATGGCACTAGATCCTTTATTAATCATATGGAAATTCTTTCAGTTTTGGCTGACTGTATATTAACGGGTGGAGAAGGGATAGTTTCTTCCAAATCCTCTGAAGCTTTCTTGCTGAACTCCTGTTGTTCCAATCAAGGAGCAGGATAGGCCAAATAACTCCTATATTATAAAGTGACGTGTAATATTTATAACATCAAAATAGGCCATTCGACCCCAAACTCTGCTGGGGTTTATGCTCCATGTGAGGTTCCACTCATCCTTCATCGAAATCCATCAACACATCATTGAGCCCCACACTGCAGATAGATGCCATTTGGTCCATCGAGCCCAAACCAGACCCAGTCCATTCCTATAACCCCACATTTCACATGGTCAATCCACCTAGCCTGCGCATCTTTGGACTGTGGGAGGAAACCCACGCAGACACGGGGAGAATGCGCAAACTCCAAATCGACAGTTGCCCGAGGCTGGAATCAAACCGGGTCCCTGACGCTGTGAGGCAGCAGTGCTAACCACTGAGCCACCGTGCTACCCATCCTCTGCATGTGTTTGCCTCATTTCCTCGTGAAAGTATCTACCGTATTCACCTCAACAGCCCTCTTGAGAGTGAGTCGCACATTCTAAACTCTGCCCTAGATTGATACAGCATGGAGAAGGCCCATTTGGGTCAATGTGCCTTTGGTAGAGCTATCCAATCAGCACTCTCTTCTCATACAGTATAAATGTTGGTTTCCTTGTTACACTGGCATTCTTGCAAATTGTCCTGATGAGTGCAAACGTAAAGTCCTGACAAAATATATCTTTTCTTTTTAGCAATAGCCAAGTTATGGTATGAGCAAATGACCATTTACTTGTTGGCAGAGAGAAATGGAGTAGTCGGGGTGGGAATGATGTCAGTAACGTGAGGATGCATCATGTTGTCGATTAGGTCATTCAAATTCACTTGCAGACTAAAACAAAACGTGGCAGCGTTCCCAAATCAGAACCTTGGGAACAGGAGATCTTCTCGATAAACCAATCACTTGCCAAGGCCCCTTTGTTTTACCCAGTGACTTCTGGTTTCCCTCGTTTTTAGTTATTACAAAATCAGACGGGAGATCATCTTTCAAATGGTTGCTTTGGAAGATCGCAGCCCCTCAGGTTTGCTCCACCATTCAATATGAGCATTGCTGATCGGATTGTGGTCTTGACCCCACTTTCCTGTCAATCGTACCTCCCCACCCGCACCCACTCCTCATAATCCCACATCTGCAAAAGATCAGTCTAACACAGCTTTGAATATAAGACCATAAGACATAGGAGCAGAAATTAGGCCATTCGGCCCATCGAGTCTGCTCCACTATTCAATCACGGCTGATAAGTTCCCCAACCCCATTCTGCCGCTTTCTCCCCGTAACCCTTGATCCCCTTGATAATCAAGAACCTATCTATCTCAGTCTTAAATGTATTCAATGACCTGGCCTCCACAGCATTCTGTGGAAGAGAATTCCAAAAATTAATGACCTTCTAAGAGAAGAAATTCCTCATCTAGACACTAAAATCCATCAAGACGTACAGGGAGAGACCAGGAGTATGGTACTGAGATAGAGGATCAGCCATGATCATGTTTAATAGCACAGCAGACTTGATGGGTGAATGGCCTACTGAAACTCTTTTTTCCCTATGATTAAACTCCAGTGACCAAAGACTGGCCTGCACGATGTTCCCTCATGAACCATCTCCTTGACCCCAGGATTTCTCCATATCACTCACCAGCTGCCTCATCAGGTCATTTACTCGAAAAATGATCCTTTCAGTAACTTGGTCACAAACATGAGGGTCACGTCTGAACATGCAGGAGACGACAAGACAATACTCACTGGTTTAAAAAAGCAAACAGGTATCTCATCACGATGATCACAGAGCGGGGAAGGGTGAGGAGAATCTTGCGAAGATGAAGGGCTCTCTCACACAGATTCTCTACTCCTGGAATGGCAAAACATGGGAATATGGTCACTTTGAACAAATACCAGGTTTCAAATAACCTTCCCACCCATCCCCCGGATCCCTTACCAGCCCTTCCTTCTCCCTTCCGTTCCACCTACTGACCCTCCCTTCCAGCCACCAATTGGATTCATCCCTCCCATCGACCAACCAGGTCGTACCTACTACCGGTGTCCACCTAACACCACCATTCTGCTACCCTCCCCTTCCACCTCGCTTTATCTGTAGTTCCCCCTACCCCTACATCCAGTCCTGAAGAAGGGTAATACCCGAAATGTTTACTTCTGCTGCCTGAATTGGTGTTTTTCCAGCCTCCCGTTTGTCTACCTTGGATTCCAGCATCTGGGAAGGCTCACCGGACCCGAAACATTAGCTTTGATTTTTTTTCTCCACAGTTGCTGCCAGACCTGCTGAGCTTTTCCAAAAACTTCTGTTTTTGTTCCTGATTTACAGCATCCGCAGTTCTTTTCTCTGCAGTTCTTTATGTCTCTCGTCAATCCATGTCAACTATGGCATGGCTGACAACCATAACATTTTTCTATCATTTGAATGGAAGTCGACATAAAGACTGGATTTTATATCGTGCCGTTCACAATCTAAGGGCATCTCAACTCGCTTTGCAGTACCAATCTAGTACTCATTTAGAAAATATGGCAGCCAATTTCCGCACAACAAACTCGCAGACAATGACGTTAACCTGATTGATAACCTAGCTCATGGTGAGATTCTAAATAATCTGAAGGATTCAGATTCCTGGGATACTAGGACCAGTCCAAGCAAGAAAGATTGCGTCTGGGAAAGAAAGACTGGGACCAATGTTCTTGGAAGTGATTGTTGGGGTGTTTGAAAGGGCTGTTGGGGAGGGTTTAAACTAGAATGGCAGGGGAATGAGAAACTGAGCAGGGAGACAAAGAAGGGAGAAACAAGGATAGAAACAAATGACAGAAAGTTAACAAACAAAAGTGTAAGGCAGAAAAATCTAGCGAGAAAAACAAATGGGGCTAAATAAAGGTTTAAATAAAAAAGACAAATCGAAAAGATTGTGTCTAAATGCAGAGAGCATTTGCAATGAGTTAGATTACTTAGCCACACAAATAGACGTATATGGTTATGAGACAGTTATATTTACAGGGATATTACAGCTGCAGGGTGACCAAGGATGGAACGTGAACATCCAGGAGCGTTCATCAGTGAGGAAGAACAGGTAAAAAGGGAAAGGAGCATTTTTAGTAAAAGACATTCAACATGATAGTAAGGAATGATATTGGCTCAAAAAATCAAAATGTGGAATCTGTAAGGATGGAGATAAGAAACACCAGGGGGCAGAAACACCTCAAAGCAACAAGGAGAAAACATTGTTGAGGGTATTTGTAGGCCTCCAAACAGCAATTCAGATGCAAGGGAAGGCATTACTATCTATTCAATTTCATGAAGCAAGCGTGGGATATTTTCAGGGGAATATTGACCACGCAGGAAAATCTGGGCTTTTGTTCATAGTGTTTTCTTTAAATTCACTGGCAGATGCTGGCAGATTTTGGCAGATGTGGGCATCACTCGAAAAGGCAGCATTTACTGCCCATCCTTAATTGCCCTTGCAAAGATGGTGGTGAGATGTCTTGTTTGAATACCACAGTGACTGGTCAGGACATTTCAGAACACACTCAACTACATTACTGTCTGCCTGGAGTCACATGTAGACCAAACCATGTAAGGATGGCTGATTTCCTTCCTGTGAGGACATCAGTGAACCAGATGGGATTTTATAATTTGGTCATCATTACTGATCCTATTCATCTTATTCCAAATTGGACTTATATTTGTAGACTAGTGGTCCAGATTATGAGCACAGATACATGACCAACTACTATTTCCCTACAATATCACACCTTGCTTGACAAGAGATTTATCCAGTGTGGTGCGAGACATAGCAGTAACTATTTGAAGATGCATGTGCTCAGTTCAACTCAGTCCAATTATTTTGCATGGAGACTTGAACTGTGATCTTTAAATGGATTTGAACAAATTGGCAAGTTTCAAATGAACTTTTAATTTGAATTTATTTATTCATATCGAACAAAGATGGCTTCTCTGCTCTCTGCTTGGCTGGTTTCAATGAGGCTTTTCTTATATACCTTTATTCCAGTGTATATTTGAGAAAATCAAGGATATTTACTTATGAGAATAATAAATATCTGTTTAGAAGTTCTTACCTGTTTTCTCTTCCGACCATTTTTGTTTGGATCTGGGTGTAAATGGCACTTGTATAGAGCTGAATGGAGTCAGCTCAATAAATAAAAAGACAAATTTAGCACGGAGGACATAAGTACTTTAGTTCTTGCTTGACCAGGTTGTCCAAGTGTGGTCCATGTTTATACTTATGGATTTTTCCCTTGGTTTAAAATGTTGTTTTATTTAAGGGGAAATGGTTTCTGCAATGGTATCCCAGATTAGTTTTGACTGCCTCAGTGGGTTGGAGCAGATGTTTCCAGATGTTTTGTTCTCCCCTTCATTGGTCCTGGGTCTTAGTGTTGCGAAGTTGGGTAGAGTACTTGTGGATTGGAAGGCAGGACATTAGAATTTGATGTTTGTAAAATGATAGAGGCGGGGGGGCAAAAGAGTGCGCGTTCCATTTAAAAGATGATGTGCTTTTTCTATGCCTAGTGATTCAAAAAGGATGCCTGTGGGTTTGCAGGTGCACAGAGCACTTGAATTGAAACATTTGTATCAAAAGGCTATACTGTTAGCAGGCAAAACAACATTTTTACCAAGACAACAGGTTTTTAAATTTAGCCAATTAATTTAAACCAGGCCCTTAGATACCACAAAACAATTAAATTTAAAATCTGATGCTTTTGACCATATAGGACCAATCTTATTATAAGAAATTGATAGGTCATCAAGGGTACAAAAGAAGGGGACATTTGAAAATTAGTACGACAGCAACTGCCATCTGATACAGTCAAAAAAGCATCAGTTCTAAAGAGAGAATCCCTGGCTCTCTCAGAAAGCCATCACCTGACTAATAGTACACTCTTAGTTAATATTCCTGACACAAGAACTCAAGGGAGAAAGGCGTTCCTGACTGAAGATCAGCAGAGAAGGCACAGAATATTCTGGAAGACATATCCTGGCTGTAATTTCGAGAGACTAAGTTTTAATTTTTAAAATTATTTTGGTTTACATAAGTGGGACTTGTATTTATTGGAACGGCATACCATTAAAATTTTGTTTTATTCAGGAATAGTTAATGGTTAAGGGGGATTGTTCAGTCTGTTAACAGTTCAGTTAATTTATTCACTGTTAGAGTTAAATAAATAAATTGTTACTTGTTGATTATAGAGTGAGTGAAAGGAGTTCATTTCATTTAACCACTCCTTTATAACAGCTTGAGGGTGAGAAGCAGGTTATACCACTTTTCACACTTCTTGTAACAGATTGTAGGGCGAGGCGAGCCTCTCTGGGTGTTTCAGTTTTAGTTATCAGAGAGGCGGGGGTCAACCTCCTCTTTATAACACTTAGTCTCTCCCAGGAGATTCATAGCAGTGGAAGGGAGTAGCCGAAGGTAAATTTCAGGCATCACTGGTTTGTGGGGTCAGGCTTGATGAGCTAAATGGTCCCCTCTTGTCCTTTGTACATTTTTATGATGGCCATATGTCAAGTACTTAGAGAATTTGGAAAGCTACCGATGCCATCAATACTCCCTCGCTATTTATATTAATGTGTTGTTCAACTCACTTGGACCCGTACCCAAAAAAACCTTCCCAAGAACAAAGAAAACACAAACTATGTTGGTGTCCAGGGTCAGAATTATCCCTGTGGGCTTTAGAACCCTGCCATCAGGCTGAAATGGTGGCCTAAATCTCTCACTGTGAGAGAAAAAAAGACAGTCACTTGTGTGATTTCCCCTGCCAGCCAGTCAATTAAGGACAGTGGATGGTCTCACAAAGTGGGAACGCTCAATCAGAAACCTTCCCGTTGGAAAGGAAGCAAAAATTAGGAGGACTGTGTCATTTTGCCCATCGAGCCAACTGAGCTATCCATTATGGTCATAGCTGATCTTCTGTCCCACTCTCTCTTTGTCTCCATTTACCTTGAAGCTTGCAGTGTCTAGAAAATCTCTATTTCAAAATGTATTCAGCGACCTGGCCTCTGTGGTACAGAATTCCACAGATTCACTACCCTCTGAGTGAAGAAATGTCTCCTCAACTCAGTCTGAAAAGACCTACCATGTATTCTGAGATTATGGTGGCTTGTCATACAGCAGGTTCTGATAGGAGGTAAGGGAGAAAAGAGGCTGCTTCTAAATAAAAGTACCTTCTGTTCAACTTTATTCATAAAAGTAAACTAAAAACAAGTTGGCTTTTGCGCAGCCAGGTCTCTGGGAGAGGGGAGGGTCTCCAGAACTTGCCTGGAGTGCTGGGCCACCAAGACTGCCACTTACAGGTTGCCTCCAGGAAGTGAACGTGGAACCCACTGGGCTGTGGGGACCAAGAGGTCAACTGGAATATCCCAATTGGACCTCGCATAGACCTGGAACCTTTGTTACTCACCACCTGCAGATGGATAGCCTTGCCACACCCTGCCACTCCCTTCCAGGCCAGGATGGAGCCAAAGAACTGGTAGAGAAGCTGGTGGGTGATTTGTTGCCTTTGAGACACTTGAATTTGCGAAAGCAGAAAGAATTCTATAAAGAGTGGTGTTCAGAAATGGAACGCAAATTGTGGGCTGTTGGGGTGAAGGTTCCAAGGTGCTTATACTGCCATTTTGTATCTTCTTTCTTGCTGCCCTTTCCACCTCCCACAACCCTACAAATACTTGACCCCCTACCCCGCATCTTGTTACATTCTGGCCTATGATGTTGCCTTGGAGTCCTGGGGAGGTTGGCCCCCTCTGCTGTTTTACAGAAGGCTGGGGAAGCCTTTGCCTAGTTTCTTTCCCAATCTGTCTGCCCATCTTCTTGAAATAACCTCACCCCTCTCTAC